TTTTTTTTTTTTTGGTATTAGTACACAGGATGGTATGATGACAGCAGTGTCAATGGAATTGAGGGCTCTGTCTCAAAGATGTTAGCAGCAGATCCCAACTTTGGTGAGAACTTTTCTATTCAGGATTTTGAATAACAATTATTGTGCAACTTTTTATTGGCATGGACTAATGACAATTCTGGACAGAATAGTCTACCGTTTATTAAAGAGATAAGACTTAGTTGAAACGTGTGTTAAGGAGATTGATTGTAAAAAGGAAATGTGAATTATTATCATAACCATTAAAAAAATATATTGAGTGGAGTTGTTGAAAACTAATACCTAACATGCAAACTACTCTTCCTTGGATCTACCCCTTGCCATTTTAGCGAGTAAGTCTTTGCACTCCTTTTAGTTCCTATTAGTAAAATTGACTGCTTGGCTAAAGTCACTATTCCTTTCCAAAAATTTGAGCAGCTTAGATTATTTATTGCCACGTTAGTGACTGGGTGATTTAAAATGACTTCTGGTGACTTCTAGAGATCACTAGAGCTTAGTTATAAAGGAAGATCTTTATTATTTTGACTACATACATGAGAGTGCTTTTGACTTTGATGATCCTAATCAGCTAACAATATGCTTGAGGAACGTCATATGTCACTATCATGCAGGTGAACCCAGAAATGCCATATCATAATTATTAGAGAGTTTCTGTGGTTTAGTGGTAGAGAATTATTCGAAAATTCTGGCTTACCTCAGGCACAAACCAGACCTACATTCTGGAAGAGTATTATGGTATCATTTTTGTGGAGTGCCCCATTTAATTGACATCACCTGTTTTTGTTTCAGTAATGGGTCATGTGATCTCGTGTGGCTTAGACCTGATCTCATCTGGAAAAGGAATCCACACAGATCAAGAGCTGAAGAGCAGCATGCTGTCCCTTGAAGGGTTAGCTGCCAGGAGTAACATCACAAACAGAGAGAGACTGCATGTCAAGGCAGTCAAAGAATGGGCAGAGGGGTGAGTGTTACCAAGATGTCATGTTAATCACTGAGACTAATTTTTGACTTTTATCAAGTATTTGTCTGTTCCTTTAAGACGTGCCTATCAAAATGGGTGACTAATCACATTTTTAATGACTGTAAAATGAAATCATATACATGAACTGCGGGTGAAGAACTGAGCACTAATTAAGTAGTAATAAAGTATAGAGCCTTAGAAACAATCTTTAGGCCTGTACGGGCTTTGAACCCATGATCTCTGAGATACTGGATACTGCAGTGCTTTTAAACACAGATTGTTCCCTTTCCCAGACGAGCTGTTTACAGTATCTATGGTGCAATAGTTTATCTCGTAACTTTATGGTTGCTACCAGGAAAACATGCAAGCACATGTTTCACACCGAGAATTCGCTGCTCATTTTTATGCTTAAAAAGTAAAGGTGGTCTGTATCATCGCCGCCTTTGTCACTTCTGTACGACTAAAACTATCTTTGAAGGAAAAAATTTCTCCTACTACACCTACCCCTGTAAATACAAAATTGTCGTGTACAAGACAATTTGTGAAATTTCTGCTGCAATGAGTGGCTAGTGGCAAATCTCTCAAATAATCTCTCTCCCCTCCCCCCTCATCATCGGCGCTACGCCATAAGAGGGTGAGCGACAAGGAATACAATTTGGTTTGGACAAAGAGGCCGTACTCACCATATCTCTTAGTGTCACTCTCCTTGCTTTATCTCTTCTGCTGCAATTTCTTGAACAACCCCTAGTAGGCAGGATGGTATGATGGGAATTGAGGGAGGGCGATTATAATTCTTGCCAAGGCTTTCATGTGTACGTCTTTTCCCGGCTTCATAGAGGTGCCCCCTATAGACCGCAAAATGAACAGTTAATGAAAATATACTTCCATTCTCATCTCTTTCAGAAATACTGCCCAAGCATGTCTAACGTGGGAAGATATATTAATGGAGAACCCAACTGACATGTTTGCTTTGAAGATGGCTCACGACTCCTACTTCTATCTTGGATACCAACGTCAGTTCAGAGACCCCATCGCAAGAGTGATGCCCAAATGGAAGGAAGACCTGCCACTCTATGGGTAGATGGCTTAGCACTAACTGTTCTAAGTTCTTTCAGTATTCAATCAGTGTTTAGACAGTCTTGTGTGGTGGATCATGCCTTTCTCTCCAAAGTAAGAGGCTAGGCAATCAGAGAACTTGATCTCATAAACAGCCCTGTTTGTGTCTAAGTAAAAAAGTTGTTAAGTTAAACTTCAATTAAATACTGTTTTTGATAACCGTAATGACTCGATTTAGAGCCCATGGCGCTTATTTACTTACTGTACTTCAAAGGGGGGGAGGGGGTGCTTATTAGAAACAGGGCGCTTATCCAAAATTAAAAAAAAGGAATGAAAAAAAAAAAA